GGGGGGGGTATTTTTGCCAAGGGGGGTGCATTTTGCGGAGGAGGGTAGGATGTTGCAAAAGGGATTGCATTTTGAAAGTGGGGAACATTTTTTGTAAAAGGGAAGGGACATTTGACCAAAGGGGAGTATTAGAATTTTGACTGCAGTGAGAGGTAAAACAGAGGCCTTGTTTCTCCTTTCGTGTTTGTAAAGCTTGGGGTCGACGATTGTCAAGGTGTCTCATTAATGATGAAGATGTTGTGCCAGTGAAGACATTTTTTTTCGCTTGTTTGTTCAGTCGTTATCTATCGCCGGCATCTTCCCTGTACATTTTTCCGCTCGAGCTCTTACAGAGTTGTCAGATCTCTCACTCATCTAAAGGTGCAGAAGTCTACTGAGCATTGCAATTGCAGCATAGGCAAGTGCGGCTTCGCCGCGGCCTGCTGCATCCTGTTCCAATGGTTAGGCATGGTTACTTAACACGACATGGCAGCCTTCGCATGAAGAAGACTTAGGGCCTCGCTCCACTGCTCACGAAATGTGCAGAATGAGAATGAATCTTCGGCTAGAACATGGAAGTATACATACACGCTCCACTGCTCACCATATGTGCAAAAGACATGTTTTTGTCTTTTGTGGATTTGGTGAGGATCGGATAGAGGCCCATAGCTGACATATGCGTCTGTCTTCATATCAAGACTTCGACGCAAGCGTCTCTGTCTTCTATGAGGACTTGGCAAACATCTCTCTCTGCCTTCGATGAAGACGTGGCGGACATGTGCATCGAACGCGACGTCGTTTTCCTACCGGTAGTGGGTGGAAGGTATTGTGTTGAATGAAATGCGGGTATGGGCACCTGACTTGTCTTGTCCTACTAAGAGGAAATGATTAGAGTGTGGCCAATTTTTGGTTGCTTGGGCCTCGCTCCACTACTCACCACATGCACAAAAAACAAGAAATATGGCGGCGTATCTGCCCATGTTCTAGCGGAAGATTCATTCTCATTTTTGCTCATTCGGTGAGGAGTGGAGCGAGACCCAAAGAACCGCAAGATTGACACAAACGCTCATCATTTCATCTGCTGCTAGACCAGGTGCCTATACCTGCATTTCATTCAACACAACATCGACCACCTACTTCCGGTAAAAAAAAAAAAAAAAGGGAAACGTCGTTTACCAAGTAGTTGTGTTCGATGTGGATTTGCACAAGTCTTGATATGAACGCCGGGCGGATATATCAGCCATGGGCCTCTTCCGTGTTCGGGCGGAAGATTAATTCTCATTTTGCACATTTGGTGAGCAGTGGAGCGAGGCTCTTCGTCTCATCATCATCATCATCGAACACAACTTGGTAAATGACGTTTTCCTACCGGTAGCAGGTGGTAGCTGTTGTCTTGAATGAAGTGCAGGTGTAGGCACCTACAGCTGGTCTAGCAGCAGCAGCAGATGAAATGATGAGCGTTTGGCCAATCTTTGGGTTCTTCGTCTCATCATCGTCACCATCATCATCATCATCATCATCATCATCGTCATCGTAGTAAAAAATGCTTGAATGGAAGAGGCTAGACGTTAGATTTGGAGGGATACTATTTTTAGAAAGTGCAAAGTTGCAAACGCAGGATAAGGTAGGTGAGAGGCTCACACATTGGTAGGTACTCCTGTCTCGTGGTTCCAGTTATTTTTAACAAGTTAAAATGTACCCAAGAGCCTAGCTCAGTGGGTACGCCCATGTACTGTTGAAATACAGACCAGGTGCTGTGTGCAAATCCAGATGATGGAACTTGAGTAAAACCAACTACTAATGAATTGCTTGGGGCTGGTCAGCTCAATGATAATATCTCAAGGCTGTCGCCCTTTTAAAAAAAATAAAAACAAAAATGTAGCGAGGGAAGTTGACGTCATGGTTACGAGAACATAGCTGATATCTATATGAGGGCATACTCACACTACCACCGTCACCCAAATACAGTGTACGCCGTATGGGCATTATTGCTGTATCTAGACTCAAAATTGCCCCAGATACAGGTATAATAACCGTATGTTGTATTTGGGTGCCAAAGTCATCCGATTTCCTCCTTATTTATTGAGCAAAGAGCAACAAGAGTAGTTGCACACCTTTTGTTTTTTCCATGAAAGTAGGTTTGAGAATAGCCGTGTTAGCCGTCGAGTTTTGGAGTGAAACGTTCCGACCGTTCTAAGTTTGGCGTGAATGGCACTTTTCGAAATGCATCTGACTGTAATTACGGCCAGAACTGGATGAATGTGACTGCAATCACGTCCAAGATTTGTGGAAAAAGTCCTAGTGTTAGTATAATATGCCCTTAGACTCGATATGAATTACAAGGTATGTGTATATTGGTGGTGATTTTTGGAAAATTGGCGAAGTATTACACAGGATGCAAGGTAATGCGATGTCGGCGTCTGAAATTTGAAGGTCAGTGGGTGGAATAAAAAAAAAAAAGGGGGAACTGATTCCCAGCAGTTGGTCACTGATCACTGTTCGTTCCTTCGTCGGGTGTGCTGGCTTCCTTAGCAGCTTACGAGACGGACGAGTTGGAGAGTAAAGCGAACCAGTTGCAATCGGAGTGGTTTCCAGGAAATTCCGCGGCTTCTTATGATGGGACAATGGAAGAGGGCGGCGGCCTGAATGCAGGGGAAAGAGAGGAGGTTCGTTACGCACGACCATCTTATGTCTGCTGATGTTTTACCTACCCGTCTGTCAGCGTTGTGTGTTCTCATGTTCACTATAAACACAACCAAAAAAACATGTGTATGTGCCTGTATGTTTCACACACACAGAGAGAGAGAGAGAGAGAGAGAGAGAGAGAGAGAGAGAGAGAGAGAGGGGGGG